TATTTTATTTTATAGGTTTGTATTTTAATAATCATAGCTATTTTCAATACAATTTAATCATTTTTTTAGTTTAACTTCATCACAGTACAGTTGTTAGAATAGATCCAAAAACAGCTAGATTAGCTCACATAGCTAAAAACCTTGTGGTTATTACTATAATTCCCAAACACAAATGAAATTTGCAAATATATATGGTAAACTACAAACTAATTTAAATCAACACTCTGACAGCAAATCACCAGGGTTTTGAAAACAAAAGATTATATAGAGGCACACCTTTTGTTTATTATTGAGCCAACAAATAAACATTTAGTGAATGCATAGTGTTAAAATAGTTTAAATCCAAGAACTAAAGGGTAGGTCATTCACCTTTTGACCTCATCTTTTTTCTCAAATTTATGTAAGCCAAAGCAACATACGGACAGCTTAAAGATTATATCAATTTATCGCTGTCGTTTCCGGAGTAAGAATCTTTTCTTACTAATAACCTTTGTTATTACTGTTTAAATGACAGATACTGTTACCAAGTGTTAGAGGGTTTGGTGAGGCCTTTGTACCCTGCAGAGGAGATAAAAGGCTTGTGTAGTTGTCCTGCAGTGTCACACAGACGACAAAGTCCTGCAGTGACGGCTACTATTGATAAACGAGCTCCTGAAATCCTACAAACCTGTGAAATGTGGAATATACCATGAATTTATCTTGGTAAGATATTTCACGACTTGATATTCTGATTTAATAATAATAATAATAATAATAATAATAATAATAATAATAATAATGTGTTTTTACTCAAAAGAAAAAGAGTCAGGTTTTGTTTTGTTTTTGTACTCATTTGATAAATGTTAAAATCATGCCAGTTATTAACTTCAGCTTGGTTTATTGAAAGGATTTTGCTTTCGGGAATTTAGACGTTTAGCCGTAGTTTGTATTCACAAAGCTTCACTTCTGTTTGACAAGTGGTGAATTATTAGCAGAGTGAAAGTCTGTTCAAGATCATGTGTAAAAGCTTCATACTGACTGTTGGTCTGAACCTAATGACGTGAGGATTTTAAAACAAAACAGTTCTTATAAATCTTTACCTTTTCTTATTATTATTTTTAATGTTGTTTCAACGCTGAAATTAAGGATGGACGATCAGTTGCTTGCTTTTAGTTTAGGTCATTCTTTTCACCCCGTCCCATATGACCCATTTTAGCTGTAGCCACCAGGCATTCTGGGAGCCACTCCGTGTTATTGTAAGCTCCAATGGAAACTCTTTCCAGGATCGGGTGTCGGAGTCTTTGTTTTCTGGTCATGAACACCTTGATGCCACAGGGCTTGTCTGTGTGCTGTTCTTTGAAGCCGTACAGTAATTGCTGTCAAAATATGCAATTGTGATTAGAATTGTTTGTACAAGTGCATCATCCATTATAAAATAACCAATAAATATGCATCACTCGCTACGAAAAGTGTACTGCACAATGTGCAATAAAAGAGCATTATCAGCAGAATCATGTTATGTTGCCAACAATTACGAGTCATTTGTTTACTTTCAAACATCGACAGGAACACTTCTGTCTTGGCGAGCGACAGATTTAGAGTCGGGAAAATAATACCCCAATGTAAACAAAGCCAGAGAGAGAACAATAGAATCAGAGGCGCCAGGTTCGAAGCAGAAAGGTAAAGTTCTTGTCTGATTATCTGAGAAGAAACATTGACTAAAAGCTGTCAGAAGAATTTACAGAATTAGAGTAAATTTTAGGAATAATAGAGCGGTGGAGAGGGTTAAAACTTAATTTGGGGCTAAAATCATATGAAAACGAGCTGTGCCGACTCGAGATAATCTGAACAACTAATCACAAAATTTAGTTGTGAACAAAGGCGAGTAATTGTTGTTGTTTTCTAAAAACCCGATGAGTTAAATAAACCCCCAAATATTCATTAAATTATGCAGAAATTTTTGTAAGTACAAAAATTGACATCAAAACATTGAAAAATCACGTGCTTTAACAGGTTTTATGGCTTAAATCAGATCACTATCAATGACTAATGAACAAAATAACTAATGCATGAACCAATAACTTTGCTGAGAAACTCATAAAATAAAGTTTTAGCCTTGATAAGTCACAAGGAAAGCCAGGGAAATTATATTTAAACTTTACTTGATAACAAAGTGGGGGCCACTGGATGATGAGAAAAAAATGCAAAGTTAAAAATTTAATCTAAAAATGTTTTAAATCAAATCTGTTTTTCGGTTATCTTAAAAAATAATATATATTATCTAATCCAGGCTTCTGCAGAACTTGATGAGATGATTGAATCACTGAATCAGGTGTGTTGGAGCAGAGAAACAAGGAAAACATGCAGGATAGCAATCCTAGAACTCCTAGTGCAAATTGTGTATCAAGAACGATGAGTTTTTGTTTAGTTACTGATTAATTGAGTGAAAGTCATTTATTGTGATGCACTGCCTTATTTCTATTCATAAAGCCACAGAATTGAACAACAAAACCACTAATAAATAAGTCATTTAACTTCGACTTGGAAATACTGGTAACTTTGATTGAAACACTAATAAGCAGTTTGTGTGTATTTTCTTTTTTTGGATGTCAAAGAAACTACAATTACAAGCACAATTCATTCCCCTTTATCATCACATCCTGGTCTGTTCTGTGAGCTTGTGTTGCATTTATCTGTTTGCACTTAACAGCTCGAGCTGTTAAGCAATTGATGCACCTCTTAAGAAAAGAAAAAACTAAATTGTCTTTTATGAATTAGTTTTTTATAGATAACATTTTGATGCATGAACACTAACAAAAAATAAATGATGCATCATTTTAATTCATTTATTCATGAAGTCTTCTGTTCGTTATTGTTTTTGTTGCAAAGGGCTGCTAATTAGTCAAGCCTTAAAGTGGGTAAGTATGTATTTTCCAGGCACATACAGGTGCTGGTCATAAAATTAGAATATCATGAAAAAGTAGATTTATTTCAGTAATTCCATTTAAAAAGTGAAACTTGTATATTATATTCATACATTACATACAAACTCATAT